GACTGCCACTCTGGGTCCCTGAGCAAAGACCCTTAACTCCACACTGCACAGTGGCAGCCCACTGCTCCCCAAGGGGATAGGTTAAATGCAGTGAGTTCATTCTGTTGCTTTGTACTTTTAATAGTGTAATGACAATTAAATGCTGGGTAAAACACTGGGAAACAAGCAACTGAATAAAAAACGATTTGAACTAGAAAGTTTTAAGAAACAGAGGAAATTCTAAAAAACAGTAATGTTCAGAATTGGGCCTTAAAAAGCCAATTGAACTTAAAAGTCTTTTACAGCAAATCATCCTATATAGCCTGAAAGTAGTTAAAACAAATACTCAAATAGCTTTTATGCTGATTTAGATTAACAATATAAATAATATCCTGATGCATTAGGTGTGTGTTTATAGAAAAACTCCATTAATACAGCCTTTGGTTATTCAAAATGAAATATTTTCAATAGCGTTAGGTGCTCATAAAAACCCCAACCCATTTTCTGGTGAATCTTTGCTACAATGGAAAAATCAGCATGCAAACAAGATCTAGTTTAGGGAATAGGCAACATTTTACAGAAGGTATTTATGTTGGATTATGTACAGTATTTTCACTTTGTACAGGTGTTTATACCCAGGAAGAAATCACGGAGAGAATTTTAGGAGCAAAAATCTTGATCTCCAAAATGACCAAATGAATAAACTTGTGGACTACGTTCACATTGCATTTGTTGCTGATTACTATTTGTTTTGTTTTTGTTGTTGTTGGTTGAACCCTTTATAGTTTTTTTTTTCTCAACAGGCCTCAGGTTTGTTATTTTGCAATGTATGTTGTTATACCTAAAAAAAGATATGTCGGCCTAAATTTGCAGAAAAGGAGATCCATTTGTAAACCCTGAAGTCTTTTAACATTTATGAAGTACGTTTATTCCTTCCAATATGCCTGTGGTTTTATACACTGCTCATGGATCGTAATAAAGGAAGTAGAGTGCAAAATGTTGCATTGCCTTACTGCTAAATGGTGGGAAAATTATTACTTAAATTGGTCAGAAAGGAGGTCAGACTACCCTGCAGTTGTCAAGATGAGGGGATGTTTGTAGAGGACCCAAATGCAGAGACGGAGGCAGAGATGGTTTCTTGCAGATTTAATGATGAGGGTGGTGGCAATAGAAGCATAAAACTAGAAATAACAAACCAGGAAACACAGAAAGAGAACCCGTGAAAGAGTAACGACAGAGGAGGAGTATATATGCTTAACAGAACAATGAATGGAGTAATTAACTGATTGGGAGCAGGTGTGCACAGAAGTAGCTAGAATGATCTCGGCGAAAGGAGATTGACACAAGGCGGCAACAGAGAGTAACCAGAAAATACAAAAGTACCTAAATATAACTAGAAAACAACTTAGATGATACTAAATGGAAATGGAACTAATCACTTAGAAAACACAGAATGATATAAATCAAATTTTAACTGAACCCCAAAGTGAAAAAAACCCAAATCAACAGATCATGACAGCAGTTGCTAGCATTCAGCATGCTGAGGTAAATGAATCTTTGTCATTGCAGATGGAGCATTTTATTGTATAACATGAGGTTAAAACATAACATTATTATTAGCTATTGCCCAAATTATTTAATTTCACTTAAATAAATTACAAAGCAGTTTCACATGAGTGAGTTACATTTTTTCCAGCTTTTTATTGTCATTACAGTGTCACAAGGACAGAGCAATGAAATTAACTCTCTGCATTTAACCCATCCCGTTGGGGAGCAGTGGGCTGCCACTGTGGGGGCCCGGGGAGCAGTGTGGGGGTTAAGGGTCTTTTGCTTAGGGACCCAGAGTGGCAGTCTGTGGAAGTGGGGCTCAAACTTAGACATACATATGACATACAGACTTAGATATTGGGTGTCTTCAGGTTCCATGCCGATGTCTTTTTTTTCAAGTTAGAAACTGCAAAATCTTGGTTTACCTTTAATTTAAAATATGTATGCTGCAATTTCAGTTGAATAAATAAAGAGTACTGTTTAATGCATCAGTGTAATTTTCTCTACTCCACTAGATAAAAAAAGGTATATAAAAAGTGATAAAGTTTCAGGTCGAAGAAGCAACAGATCAGTAGCTTTTGGGGGTACTTTTTAAGATAGTCACTGTAAAAGTGCATTAAGAGAAAGGCTTCAGTTTTGCTCAATGCATTGAACAAATGATTTTCCATTATAAGTTACTCTAAAAATCCCACTCCTCCCTCTTCACTCCCCATTTTGCTTCAAGTTACCAGTTCTCACTCTCTTCTCTACTTCTGTCTTCTTTTTCCTGGCAGTGCATGCTGTGGTATTACCAACTGTCTGCTGTAGCCTATGTGTGTGCTCACATGTAAAATTCAGGAGCCTAGGCTGAGCTGGAAACAGGGCATTGATGGAGCATTATAGCCGAGAGAGAACAAAGTCTAGAAATAAAGGGAAAGATTGATTCAAATTCGCCGAAAGGCTATGAAAGGGTGGCGTGTTTACATTGCAGCAGGACGTGTCCCAGCTGGGTGATCTGCTAACCCTTCTAGCGACCTTGTCAGAAGTAAAAGAGGACCAGCTGACAAAGGAGGCACACAATGACACACAGCTGTTCTGGGAGGAATGTGGCACACGCGTGCACATGGCGATGAACTATATGTGTCAGAGACGAATGTCAGTTGGCTTTCTGTGACTTAGCCACATCAAAAGAAATCCCTAACACATATCCTATGCTCTATATGTCCTTGTGTGCGCTAAAAGCATCTTCTCGCCAGCGGCCAGTAGCTCTTTAGCACTGGTTTCCCCTTAGCAGTATTAAAATTGATCACCCACTATGTCTAATCCACTTCATACAGTATGTTTGCAGATGTGTTTATGCGCTAGCCTGAAGAACACTTGAGGCAGAACTCCTGTTTATCTGTGTATATATTTCCCTCAGAAAATTGTGTATGTATAGTTGATATACGTCTAAGCTCCAGAGATTAGTTGTTTGTTTACCTTTGCTTGGTTTTTGTTGCTTGAGTGTGCATATGCACACGCACTTTATTTGGGTTAGCAGTTTGGTTGAAGTCCTGATGAGCACCATGTGCGCCTGGTTTTCCTTATGTTCCTGCCCCAAAGCCTGTCTGCTATTTCTCTAAAAAAATAAATAAATAAATAAAATAAAATCGAGTTAGAGTTAAAAAAGATAAATCTAGATTTAGCTTACAATCAGTCTATAAAATATCAAAAAAGTTAGACATTATTAAAGTGATAGACAAGCTGCGGTTTAAGTTTATTCGGAGCTAACTGTTGGTTCATTTATCCCTGCTAAGCTTTAGAGAAATCCAACCTCTTCTTATCCCTTACTTCTTTTTTCATTAATTCTTTAAACAAGATGCTCGTTGTAATCCATAGGGCAGCGATATGCTTTGATTTGGTTTCTTTTTTCTCCCTCTGCCTTTAATCTTTATTCTCTTTCATATCAACAAGACATGACTTGATAGTTTTTATATTCTTGACACCAAGCCAGTGTTCAAGGAAAACATAACATTAACAAAAAAAATGCTTCTTGTTCTCCTCTTTGCAAAATTTTTCCATTCCCTATTTAATCTTTGGATCATTTAACACAACTGTCTGCTTTTAAATCCTTTAAAATCATGGTATTATGTACAGTTAGAGTCTGTAAAATTTCTCTTTTGGATTTTTTAAAAATGCTTTTGCTCCTTTGAAGCAAACAAAAGCCTGAAACCATCAACTTTTTCTGCTTATATAAAGTGAGAAATTACTTATTTAGTCAAGTTCAACTATAAACAAAAAAAGAGAAACATTATTGCAGCCATGAACTTTGCATTGCCTTAATATATTGTAAAATGGCTATATATAAATATCAAATATATATATATATATATATATATATA